AGATAGATAGATAGATAGATAGATAGATAGATAGATGATAGATAGATAGATAGATAGAGATAAATAGATAGATAGATAGATAGATAGATAGATAGATGATAGATAGATGATAGATAGAGATAAATAGATAGATAGATAGATAGATAGATAGATAGATGATAGATAGATGATAGATATAGATAGATAGATAGATAGATAGATAGATAGATAGATAGATAGAAGATAGATAGATACAGATAAAGAGATGATAGTAGTCAGATAGATTGACAGATAGACAGACGGATGGATGAAAGAGACAGGATGAATGAATAAAAGACATGGATTGTTGGTGAAATGGATGGATAATTGAACAAGTAGATGAGAGGGGGGAGGGAGGGAGGGAGGGAGAGATGAATGGATAAACGACATGATGGACGGATAAAGAGAGAAAGCGGTAGAAGAAATGGATGGATGTAAGATAGAAGAGATGGATAGATGAAAGACATGGGCGGATGGATAGATTACATCTAAACCTTTTCACTGCCAGGAATTGCGCAAGGGAACGGCTCAACCCCGGGGGGGGGGGGGGCAGCCAAGGGAAGAAAATGCATCCAAGGCCCAGAGGTTGCACATCTGCTGGTCAGGAGGCCAGACGCCCCGCCGGCTCACCATGGCTGCGTTGTGTTCCTCCAGGGCAGCAGCTTTGATGACTTTCCTCAGCAGGCGTCTGTTCCGGAGAGCGTGCTGCTGCCTTTTGAAGCGCTCGTACAACAGCTGGTTATGCAGCAGGCGCAGCTGATTCTGCAGGGTGCGAATCTCATCGGAAGGGGGAGAACCTGCAGGGAGAAAAGATGGCACTGAAAACACAGAGTCTCCGGGGGTGGGGGGGTGTACCATGCTCACTGGACACTTGTCCTTCCGGGTCAATTCTAAAATCAAGTTCTTAAACTAACGACGGACCAATTCAGGCCACATCATCTGTAGGCATCTCTTCTACTTGTTCAAACCGAAAGCCCTAATCCTAATCCTATCAATTGTGTAGCCAACCGGAGACAGGGAGCCACAGCAGAGGCAGGAAAGAGCCACATGCGGCTCCAGAGCCGCAGGTGGCTGATCCCTGATCTATGGGTTCATGCCAGTGGTGAAATTCATTTTTTTTTGCTACCAGTTCTGTGGGCGTGGCTTGGTGGGCATGGCAGGGGAAGGATACTGCAAAATCTCCATTCCCACCCCACTCCTGGGGGAAAGATACTGCAAAATCTCCATTCCCACCCCACTCCTGGGGGAAAGATACTGCAAAATCTCCA